ATTTTTTTTCACTGTTACTTTACATGACATCTCCCTGATAATCACTAGACCCACAAAAAGTATTTTTTAACTGAAGAACAGTTTTCACACCAACTCTAGAAATTCAGGTATTAGTTGGGACTTAGGAACACCAACAATAAAGTGATAGGGAGTTTCTAATTTTTAAAAATCTGTTCTCAGCCTCCTTTGGTTACCACAGACATTTTTATTTATTGTTATAGAGCAGGGGTGAAAGCTCTCTCTGATGCAGTGGTTAGGGGAAGGGATAGTGTCCTGGGAGGAAAGAAAGAATAAAAGTAACAGGCAGCATCCCAAGCCCTTTAGAATTTCTAGACAGAGAAGAGAATGCTTTACTTCTCTATTTCTACCTGTTCCTCCCTCTGTCGAATGTATCATGTGTCTTGGACACAGCTGTACACAGAACTGCTGCAGGAACAGGGGCCCCAGGGCCTGAATGAGCTCCCAGCCTTCATGGAGATGAGGGACTTAGCCCGGAGGTTTGCCTTGAGCTTTGGACCCCAGCAGCTACAGAACCGTGACCTTGTGGTCATGCTACACAAGTAAGATAGTATTGGTTGGAAGTCAGTGTTCTTGAAATTTCCTAAGAAGGCTAAGCCAAAAGCTGTGTACAGGGAGAGCTGGGAATAAGGTCTTGGAGGGAGGATAAGCATGTTGAGAAGAAGCGATCAGGTTGGCAGAGGGACAAGCTATGGGAGACAAGCTGGGGACAGGAGGAGGGTATACTTGGACCGCCCTGGGACAGATGTGGAAAGGGACTGTTTTCCTAAAATAATTCTGCTCAACCAAGGGAAGGCATCAAGTTCTCCTTGTCCGAGCTTCCTCCAGCTGGATCCTCCAGTCAGCCTCCAAATCTTGCATTCCTGGAGCTCCTTTCAGAGTTTTCCCCCCGACTTTTCCATCAGGACAAGCAGCTACTGTAAGTTCTGAGTGGGTGGATAAAGATGTGGATTAGGGAAGAAGGGGATGGTGAGGGCCCAGTGACCATTTCAGCTGGATGAGAGGATGCACTCTTCATTCTCTCATCCCACCCCTTGCTTTAGACTGTCCTACCTGGAAAAGTGTCTGCAGCATGTCTCCCAGGCCCCTGGCCATCCCTGGGGTTCAGTTACCACTTACTGCCACTCCCTCAGCCCTGTAGAGAACACAGCAGAGACCAACGCTCAGGGCTACCCCCACTCCAAGAAGCGGCGCATTGAAGGTAAAGTGCCGTGTGTGTGTCCTGTGTATGTATACTGTATGTACAGGTATCAGGATCCCCAGCACTACTTCCGTTAATGTCACTGTGTGGATAAGCAGCATATGGTCTTTTGTCACCTTCAAACTTTTGCCTTTGGTTAAATAAAAAATATTTATTGAGTATCTACTACTCATTTTATCAAGACGTATTTAGCCAACTTAAAATAGCAAACCCCCATGAAAAATCAATTAGAAACTAATGATAAAATCAAAGATTGAACCAAGATCTGCACATTTGGGGTGCCCCATTCTAACATCTTGTATTTTGTTATTTTACAAATTATAAATATTTCTACACAACCTTCATGATTTTTTACCTTCAGATCACCAACTATCCTATAGTTCACCTAAGGGTTTTTTCTTTAAACTAATTTTCTTATATAGACTCATCTTAACTGATGTCCTAAAAATAACAAGTTTGATGTGATTAACACAGTAGTAGTCATTCTTTATTCTCCCCATCCTCCCAACCCTCGGCAAGACCACCAATCTACTCTGTATCTCTGGATTTGCCTATTTTTGACACTTTATAAAATGGAATCGTATACTATGTGGCCTTGTGTATCTGACTTCTTCCATTTAGCATAATGTTTTCAAGTTTTATCCATGCTTTAGCATGTATCAGTACCTCATACCTTTTTATGGCTGAATAATATTCCATTGTATGGAAAGGCCACATTTTATTTATCCATTCATCAGTTGATTAACATTTAGTTTTTTTCCTCATTCTTATGCATAATGTTGCTATGGACATTCATGAACAAGTTTTTGCATGGACATACGTTTTCAGTTCTCTTGAGCTACACCTAGGGGTGAAATTGCTTGATCATATGATTAATCCATGTTTAACTTTTTGAGGAACTACCAAACTGTTTTCCAAAGTGCCTACATCATTATACAATCCCAGTATCAGTGTATGAGAACCCCAGTTTCTCCATGTTCTTGCCAATATTTGTTATTGTCTATCTTTTTTATTTTATTCACCTTAGTGGCTATGAATTGGTACCTCGTTGTTTAAATTTTTATTTCCTTAAATAACTAATGATGCTGAGTATCTTTCATGTGTTTATTGACTGTTTATAAATCTTCATTAGAGAAATGTTTATTCAAATCCTTTGCTCCTTTTAAAATTGGCTTGTCTTTTTATTGTTGAGTTGTAAGAGATCTCTATATATTTTAGATAAAAGACAGATATGATATCCAAAAGTTTTCTCCCAACCTGTGGGTTGTCTTTTCATTTTCTTTATGGTGTCTGTTGAAACACAGAAGTTCCTAATTTTGATGAAATCCAACTTACCTAGTTTTTCTTCTGTTGTTTATGCTTTTGGTGTCATTTTAATAAATCATTGTCTAATCCAAGGTCATGAAGATACCTATGTTCTCTTCTAAGAGTTTTCTAGTTTATCTCTTATATTTAGGCCTGTGATCCATTTTGAGTTAATTTTTGTATATGTTGTGAGGTAGAGTATGATTTCTTTTTAATGCTTTCAGTATACTACCTAAAATTATCCCTTCTACCACCAAGAAACTTTGCTTTAATCAATTAGCTAATAAATATTTGTTAAAGACCTACTATATGCAACATACTGTGATAGATGTTTTAGAGACCATGAAGCAGCTTGCCATCTATTAGGAAAGAGAGAAAATACATTTATAGAAAATCTGAATTATAAACAGTCACCAGTAAATGATAATTTCCTGAGCGTTTGAGAATTTACAGATACATGGTAAATAATTCAGGGAAGGAAGTTATCACTTTAAGGTTAGTTGATCTTTGAAGGCCTAATCAAGAATATGGAATTTAAGCTGGAACTTGAAAAATGGGTAAGATTTATATAAGCTGAACAAAGGGGGAATGAACACCATGGACTAGCAGAATAGCATAAGCCAAACATAGGAAGCTATGCTTTAGGCAAAGCACATGGTTGTATTGATTGGTTTGCCTAAAATAGGGTTTGTAAAGGTAGGATGACACTAATAAGATTGGTTCCACTGTTCATTAAACAGATGCTTATTGAGCACCATGTGCCGAGAATACAGCAATGAACAAACAAAAGACAAATACCTCTTTCTTTAGAGTGTCAAGTAGTGATAATGTGCTGTGGCAAAAAGTGGGGGGTGGAGAGGATGAGGAAAAACTGACAGGATGGGGATTATGGTGTTGTAGAAAGTGATCAGAGAGAAACCTCTCAGAGAGTGTGAAGGTTGGGCAAGAACCTAAAGAAAGTAGGGAGGGTGCTTGGTGTATATCAGAATAGTTTATCAGAGGAGCAACCAGTCCAAAGGCCGTGATAGGGGATGTGTCTGGCACGTTCAAGGAACAACAGAGAAGACCAGAATAGCCAAATGGAGAGTATGTAGGATATGAGAACAAAGATGTCATAGGAGCCCCTAGATGTCAGAATGCATGACACAGAGTAAAGACTATGGAGTGAAATGAGAAAACATTGTAGGATTTGAGTAGAGGAGTGACAGGATCTGCTTTATGTTTTAAAAGTATCCTTCTGGCTGCTGTGCTGAGAAGTGACCAGAGGGACAGACAAGGGTAGAAGCAAAGGAGCCACTGATGAGGCTGTTGGGGGAGTCCAGATGAGAGAGGAGACAGGATAGAATGGGGAGAGTGGCAAAGGTGGTGAAAAGTGGCCAGATTCTGAATATATTTCCAAGATACCACTAATAGGACTTCCTGAGAAACCAAATGTGTGATAGAAGACAGAATTCTTGGGAGTTGAGGGTGACTCCAAGAATTTTGGCCCAACAATTGAGAGGATAGCATTGATAGGAGATGGAGAAGGCTGTGAGTGAGATCAGGACTTTGGTATTAGCCATGTTTTTACAGATGGAGATGTTGGAGTGACAGCTGGGGATAGGAATCTAGAGTTCAGGGGAGAGGCAAAAGCTGCGATGAATTTGGGAGTTGGCATTTAAAGGTGTGAACCTGAATGATTAAGGAAGCCAGTGATGGTGGAGCAAAGGAGAGGCCCAAGGGCTGAGCACTTGGTCATTATACCATTAATGGTGAGATTAGGAGGCTCCACCTTGGGGTCCAAGGTTTCCTCTCTGGGGTTACAGGCTCGTGTGTGTGGCTCTTTCCTGTTATCTGTAGCCCTCCACTTTCTCACTTTCCAGGTTATTGGTTTCAGTGTACAAGCATGGCCATAAGGAGGGAGGGTAACAGGTGTGAATATTTACAGATGACAAATACTAATATCGATTTGACTCATATTTTCAAATAGTATTACCTGGGTTTTCTTAAACATTTTGGATTCCTCTGCCTTCTCACATCTCTGCAGGAGAGAGATTCTTAACTAGGTTCTTTACTTACTTACCCTTCATATCAGCACTACACCAACATTGCAGTCATTTCATTTTTTTCTGGCTTTTTGAAAATTTGCCATTCCATTTTTGTTCCTCCCTACCCCTTCCATCATAGTTTCGGGTCCCAAAACTCTATTGCCATTTTAAGCTTTTTCTCACTACAGAAATCTTGAATGAATAGGACTTTAGATGTCTTCATTTATTAACTGAGACCTCTGAGTCTTAGGGGAGTCCAACCCTCTCTCACATTCATGTTCAAGTGTTACTGTTTATATGTGAAAAATATGTTTATATCTCTTTTTATCATATTTTTAAGATGTGTAGTAAGTTTTTTTTTTTTTTTTGGACAAGTCCTAGATAAGCTTTTTTTTTTTTTTTTTTTTTTTTTGAGAAAAGTTGCTGATATCTTTATTGCTTTGCAGTGCTCAGGAGCTCTTGGTGGGGTAGACCTGCTCCCTCCTGACCTTCATGGGCTTCTGGCTGCTCAGGATGGTGCTGGCCCTGCATATGGTGACCACACACAGATTCAAACAGTACTTGTTCTTGTGCAACATGTGCTGGATAGTGCTCAGGGTGTCCTGGGCATTCTTGTTGATGGTGGTTTGCATGTAGGGGGTGGCCAGCTTTTATTGGCCCTCTTTCTGCTTCATGATGACCCACACCTTTGCCATCAGCCTCTGGCTCCATACCCACCATCTTGTGGTGAATGAGCCCATTGTAGCAGAAGGAGTTGTGTGCCTTCAGAGTATTGGGTTCCGTGCTGTATGTCTGCTTATTTCTCTTTATCAGGAAGATGGAGCAGTTCCATATGACTGTCCATTGCTGGTAGACAGACATGGTAGCTGTTCTCTCACTGTGGTGGCAGGAGATGGAAAGAGCTAGATACACTTCTATAATCTTTATTCTTTTAGTACATAGGGCTGCATTCATTTTTTAGTTGTAACGTAATGAGGCCATTTAGGTTTTCCATTTCCTTCTTAACTTTTTCTAACCAAACCCAGGTCTTGAAAAAATAAAACTGTCCATGGCAGTACCTGGTCTACAGTTTATATGTGCATCTGCTTCTTTGCAGGCTCCTCTAGGCAGCACAGAGAGGACATCTCTTCATTCCAGGAGGAAAGCCTACAGCTGAACAGCATCCCACCTATACCCACCCTTACTTCCACAGCAGTGAAGAATAGACAGCCCCTGGGGGGGTTGGAAGAGATGGAAGAAGAAGGTGGCTCAGAATCAGAGTTTACCCAAGGGTGAGGCCTGCCAGGGAGAATCCGGGTGTCTGATTTCCTAGTCTGTTGTCTTGCCATCTCCATCTTGCTGTTTTTGTTCTGTTCTCACCAGCAGCACTCCCTCATTGTTGGATCCTTCTCTAATCCTTTTCAATTTTACTAGCTCTACATTTTTCTCTTTTTTCCTATGCTCTGAGCTCTTCTCCCCTTTAATGCCAGCCACCTTACCTTTTCTTTTTACCCTTTACTTTCGTATACTGTCACTGATCCTACATAATTCCCAACAGCCAACTCCCTAGAGGCACCCAGAGGTCCAGGTTCTTGAGTCCACAGCATTTCCAGACTGCATTCAACCCTTCAGGTCCTGGTCTAGGCAACCGGCTGACCCGGTGAGCTTTTCTCATTATCTTCTGTCTTCACTTCAGATCTGTTAGCCATGGTAAGGGGTTCTCCCCTTATCCATTGTTTCTGTGCTAATGCTTTTTGGAATAGTTTTAACCACAGAACAGTTCCTTCTGGTATAATGTGGAACTCCAGTATGTAAAACTGATAGAGTAGAGCTGCTAGTTAAAGCAGGAGTGGGAACCTAGAGCCCTGCTGTACTTACTGCTCACCCCTGCTTCCCTGGGGTGCCTTTGAGAAACTCTCAGGGGTCTTTAAAGAGCAGTTTGGAAACTTCTACCCTTTGCTACTGCCATCAGACTCAGCCTTATGGAAGAGGATGAAGAAGATTTAGAAATTCAGAATGAGTCAGGTGAAGAATGGCAAGATCCAAACAAGGTGAGTGGACCCAGCATTCCCTTCTCTGTCCAGAACTAGAGACATATATGAGATAGAGAAAACTAGAGTGATTCTTCTCTATCAGTCCTAATGATGTGTTTGTCCCTGAAAGATACTTAGGACTTTTTGAAAGCATCGCAGAGTAAAAGAAGGAGATTTGTTAAGTTGCTTTGCGCTTTGCTGGGATTTTACTTTTATTAAAGAAACTTAAAAAAATATATACCAAAAAGGACTGAAATAGCACTCCAAATAAGTATTTTGCCTCTAAATCCAAATTGAAAGGGGTCCTAGAGCTAGAGATGGAAGGTCATTTAGCCCAGTCTTGCAATCCATTCATTACGTCTCTTCATAACATACACAGGCACTTGGGCACCCTGTGTTCCCTCCTGTCTCTTTAGAAGGCTGCACCAGTCTTTGTTTCTCCACTCACTCCCTTTTCTACCCCAGCCTCACTGCTTCCCCAGGAGGAAGGACTGCCAGTTGAGTAGGAAAAGCTTGTCATTTGAGTAAGGTGACCCAAGAGTCCTCAATTCTACCACTTTATCAAGTTAGTTCTTTAAGCCCTCTTCGCCTCCTCCTCTTTAAAATGAAGTTTTTACACAAAATACAAAATGAAAAAGAACAAAAAGAATATAAACAAAATGAGTATGAGTCTGCTGCCATTATCGTTCTGCTCCCTTCTCTGTTCTTTGAGGAAAGAGAAAGGATGGAATAAAGCAGGAGAATGGAGGTCTTACCCTCAGAAGGAAAAACCAGACAATGACAACTTTAAACCAGAGACTAGCAAACAAGGCCTTGATTAAGATTCTGTAGTCTTTCCTAAAGTCCCCTCAGGAGAAATCCCATTCTCAGATTCCAAAATGGAACAAATTTAAGGGGCTTAGCACGTCAGAAGAGGAGGTACTTCTCCGATGACTTTAGGAAGTCTAGGCCTGAACCTCATGCCCACCCTGCCTTTCTTAATTTTCCCTCCCTGACTGCCTCAGGGGCCTAGTGCAGCCCTTACTTGTTATTCAAAGGGAACTTTGTGGTTGCCTGCAATGTGGTGGGAGTAAAGGAAGGACCTTTCTGACTTTTAATCCCATTCTTTCTAGCACTCTTACCCCAGTGAGCCTGGAATGGACCTCTTGGATTCTACAGAGCTGAACATTGAGGTGAGCGGCCCCAAAACAGAATGTGGACAGCAGGGTAAGAGGAGTTGAATTATGTGTTCTTGGGATGTGCTGGCAGATAATTTGTGTATCTGCCATTAGATGTGAAGAAAGGCCACAGCCCATGGCCTGCCCTCTCAGCTGTGTCCAGAGCTTTAAGATCAGCCCTGGGAGGAGGGCAGGAGAGGAATTAGAATTGCCATCTGTAGGACCTTGCAGTCATCTCTTTGCCCTATGTTCTGCCATGTCTCTGTGTTTGCCTTTCAACTTTCTCATTACAGGATTTCTGACATGACTCTGCGCCCTTACCTATCTTCACCCACCACCTCAACAATATGACCACTTGGAAAAGGCAAACAGGAAAAGGAAGCAAAAGGAAGCAAAAGGAACCATTACTTCAGGCCCACCTCTGGTCTCTGAGGGGAAGAAGAAGTGGGCTTTCCTTTCTAACCTAACATTTTCCTGATGATGTCGGCATAGAGAATCCTTAAACCCCATCATTCCTAATACACCATGGTTCTGTCCCTCTGTTTGAGCAGAGGGCCTGTTTCCTGCTGTTTGGATGGGTGGGGGCTTCACCTTAGTATCTGAGAGGGGCACTACTTCCCTGTGTTGAATTGAAAGAGCATAACAGTTTTCCTGTATTTTTGGAACATCTTTCCCAGCCTCTTTTGTGCCCTAGTGATTAGCTCAATAAACATGTTTGAGTCAGCTGGGTCCCAGGTGCGGCTTGAGATTGTTAAACTGATAGAGATTGGGTCTTTGCTGGTTTCTTAAATGGCCCTGCCCAGCCCCATAGCCTGTTGTGCAGGTGCAGCCCTGCACACACCCAAGGTGCTTATAGTATACTGGCTCTCAAGGATCTATTGCTTAGTAACTGAGAGACTGGCTGTGTTTGAGTAGTTTATCTGTTGAGAACATTTTAGGCTGAAGACGAAAGGTAGTATCCAGATCAGCTGGAGGGTGCACCTGCCTGTCCCACCTACACTGAGGCCAGGTCAGTCCGTATATCTTGGCAGCCTTCACATAAGGGTTCTTTCCAAGGGTAATTTTATGCCCTCATCCCCAAAACACCTGTAATAATTTGAAATTTTATAGAATTTCGGTATATGAGAGTTAGGAGGTAACTTTGAAGTTATTCTAAGTGTCCAACCCTAAAATCCAATAGGAGGTAACTTTGAAGTTATTCTAAGTGTCCAACCCTAAAATCCAAGTCTTTGACATCACCTTCTTCAATTCTTGCCTTCCCGAGCTAACTCTCACCAAGTCCTGTCAAGTCATTCTCCAAAATATTCAGTCTGATCTGTCTCCTCTTTCATTTCCACCATCATCTCTCACTTAGATTGCCATAAAATAACCTATGGAAATTGGCTTTCTTGAAACACTGACTTGTTTGTTCTTATTCTGCTGTTGGGAGCAGCACAGCCCCTCTGTTCTCTCTTTTCCCTCTGATAAGCAATCAACTATATGAAGACACTGTTGTCATTTTCTACTTTAACTATTTTCTTTTGTGGTTTAAGGAACCCTTCTCTCTCTCCTTTTAGATATGATTTCCAGTTCATCCCTGTACTAGGCATCTGCTTTAAGTTCAAGTTTTCACTGTGGTCTTCTGGGCTGAAGACAGCCATCCAGCTAGTGGTCTCTGCAGAAGGAACCATGACTTCCTGCAGGTCACTCAGCCAAACCCATTGTTTTTCCTTCTTTCCCCTTCCTCCTAGATAAAAAATAGGAGTTGGGTTTGTGAGTCTCCTTTTAGAAAGGCAGCCTACCAGTACCCCAGGGGCAGCTAATGCATTCAGAGATGTTTAGTCTGTGTTCAGGTGGAACAGCTTCAGGAAAAGGAGCCTTTTCTATGGGATCTGAGAATAGAATGGGAAGACTAAAGTGAAGGTATGGAGGTCACTGAGGACCCAGGAGAGGAAAGATTCCTGAATTACTTAAATTCCAACCAAGCTGAGGGTACTTCATGAGATCAAAAGAGAAACTTGGAAGCTCTGTAAATGTTGGCGATATGTATGCAGCCAGATAGCCCAATGTAGTGAATTGAGGTCTAACCTTAGAATCTGTGCAAGCATTATACCATGCTCCCCAAATTCTTACCACTGCGCTGAGAGGTTGGGTTCTAGGTCCTCTCCCCTTGAATGTGGGCTCTGTGATTGCTTTAATAGAATATGATGGAGTGATGCTATGCCAGTTTCCAAGCCCAGATCTTAAACTGGCAGTTTCCACATCCTCTTCTTTGAGATAATCACTCTTGGAACCCGGTCACCATTCTGTGAGAAAGTGCCAGTCAGCTGAATGGAAAGGCTATGTGTAAGTGTTAAGCCAACAGCTCTAGCTGAGGTCCCAGACTGCTTCCAGCATCAATCACGAGACATGGTGCAGATGTGAGACATACGATTCCAACACCCAGCTTTTGTCTTCTGGTTGAAGCTCCAGGAATCAGGGAGTAGAAACAAGCCACCTTTCTGTGCCTTTTCCAAATTCCTGACTCATAGAATCCCTGAGCATGGTAAAAGGGTGCTGGTTACACCGCTAAGTTTGGGGTGGTTTGCTACATAGCACTAGTAACTGAAAAGTAACCTTAGATTCTTAAGACTCCAAATGTTTGGGCATCTTTTATCAGTTAAAAAGCTTTATATATTATATAAATATTTACTATATTATACACATTAAAAAT